TCTCTCTCTCTCTCTTTTTGATTGTATGAGATTTGCATGAAATTGAATCCTTTTTCTTCCCGAATCGTGCAAAAAGTATCGCATCGGATCAATAAATTTTCGGTTTTTAGCAACGTGAAGCTGTTGGATCTGCTGAGTTGATTGCTAAAGTTCCCGGCTTTCTGTAAGATTTAAGAATAAGCGATTTAATTTCGTGTCTTTTTCACTGGCGATTTATTATATGTTTAGAACTGTTAATTAGTAGACTAAAAGATGGATATTCGCTTAAAAAGCACCGTGATTGAGGTTTTAATTGGTTAAGAGCAGCGCCAATTCGTAAAAAGTTGGAATTTTCGAATGATTCTATTTTTATTTTTATCGATTTTGAAGTAGCTTCATTTTTTTCAATTAGTTTTGGACCTATCATTTGTTGCTGTCCATATCTAGTTTATATCGCTCCAGAATTTGTAATATGTGGGAATTAATGCAAAACACCATAATTATAAAGGAATCAAGTGATTATTTATTTAATTTTGTGATTTATTTTCTCACTTCTAAGATCAGATCTCGTATTTGATTATTGATTTGACTAAAAACTGCCTTTAATGAGACATAAATTTGCACAAATGAGTGAGAAGTCCATTTGTTTACATTACATGATGTATTAAATTTCCCTTTCATTTGAAGGATTAAAGTTATGTGGTTTGCCAGAAGAGCCTTTAGGCTTACCTGTGTCGTGGGCATAAATTTTACAGTTCCCGACCGACAAATATTATTGAGGCATTGATCTGTGATCATAATTTGTCATCAATTTTAGAGCTGGATACAACTGGCAATTTTTGTTATGGCTTTTATTTGTGCTCATTCCATTAAGATGCCATCTAACTTTGGAATCGTTTGCCAACCTGGGATAATCTCTGATCTTGCATCATTGCATGTTTAGTTGATGAACTAGTTTGATTACCAAAAAGATGAAAATCTACATTGTCAAATTTCAGGTTGAAGGAAGAACTGTGAAAGCTCAGATATGGGACACTGCAGGGCAGGAGCGATACAGAGCTATCACGAGCGCCTACTACAGAGGCGCCCTTGGAGCCCTTCTGGTGTATGATGTAACAAAGCCTACGACATTTGAAAATGTAAGCCGTTGGCTGAAGGAGTTGAGGGATCATGCAGATGCAAATATTGTGATCATGCTGATCGGGAACAAGACTGATCTGAAACATTTGCGAGCAGTGGCCGCGGAGGACGCACAAAGTTATGCTGAGAAAGAAGGTCTCTCGTTTATTGAAACATCTGCCCTCGAAGCAACTAATGTTGAGAAGGCTTTCCACACGATTCTTTCAGAGATATACAGGATAATCAGTAAGAAGTCGCTTTCTTCAGAGGAGCCAGCTGCTGCTAGTAGCATCAAGGAAGGAAAGACTCTTGTAGTTGGAGGGACGCCCGAGGCCAACGCGAAGAAGCCTTGTTGTTCTTCATCCTGAGTCTGATTACAAATTTTATCAATTTTTCCCATACTCGTATTCCGGTCTTCTTGTTTTCCTATGTATTGTTGGTTGTTATTCCAACTTTCTTTCATATATTTTTAGACACTATTTTGTTGTTGGTTGTGCGAATTGATGATTATTTGGTTGATTGGCAGATTGGATGAAAAATGTTACAGTTTTTAGTTTGTTCTTTCGGTTGATGAACTAGGTAACAAAGAAATCATTTTTTCCCACCAATCTGAGATCGTCTCTAGAATTTTTCTTTAAGTTCCTTGTGGCGAATGAAGACCAAGGAAAAAGTCGGGAAAAAAAATGAAGACTTGCAGAGCATGCGCTATTATTACTTTGCATTGCATCATGATTGCTTGGACGTAAACGATATGTATATAATTTTTTGAAGGGCGTATTTATTCTCGATTACAAGTTTTTTTTTT